AATTATTTTTTGCTTATGGAAGGTGATGATGGCATCCTGGCCAAAGAAGGTGGCTGTGCATACACAGACAAAGGACACTTCTCTAAAAGTAGAAGATTCCCATTGTCTGAAATATTCATGCCAATTGTCTGAATATTTATTCCATCTGTAGACCACTCTTCTCTTCTGAAAAAAAATTTAGCCATTCATTCCAAGATTACTGCCCAGGGGTGTGATTTTGAATATACATACTACTATCTAGACATTAGCAATTTGGTTTAGTTTGGGACTGGGCAGACACTCTGTTCGTTCTCCTAGATTCCTCAATAAGCCGGCCACCCCACTTGCTGAGGCAGCTATTGAGCCTTCTCCATTCTCGACACCAATTTATTGGAACCATACATCTGGATTGGTTTCATATTACCATTAGTGAAGCCTCCACTTTTCCCATTTTCCCACCATTGCTACATTAGTTCTTGTGTGTGCATGCTTGTGTGTGTATTGCTTATTTTCTTAATAAAAGCATAAAACCTATTTGGAATTGTGCCTGAAGTTCTGTGTGATTAGGAACTGGTATAAAAAAGGTTAAGATCCCAGGGCTGACTGTTGTCCCAGCCAAAATATAATTTTATTTAAGCTATTAAATTCCCCCTAATCATAATAATTTGTGGGTGCCCTACTGGAAACCTAGCATTTTGGATAACAGACCTCTCTCAGAACTCTCTCTGATTACAGTCTGCCCATGTTACAAGATATGTGAAGTGTTGTCCTTATGTGGCCAGCAACAGACATATGGATATAGAAGGCAGGACATTTCAAAACTGAGGGGCCACATGATCTTGAAAGTACAATTTGGGGCAGTCCAAAGAAAAGCCTTTGATCATGCATACAACCATGCACCCAATGAAATAATAATAATAATAATAATAATAATAATAATAATAATAATAATAATAATAATAATAATAATAATAATAATAATAATAATAATAATAATAATTTATTTATACCCTGCCTTTTTCCATAGCAATCAAGGCGGCTTACATCTAAAATCAACACATAAACTACCCCAACAATAAACAACAAACCATATAAATAAATACACTCACCCCCCTTAAAAATACATTAAATTCAAATATCAGTTAAAACCAAGAATTAAACAATAAATGAAGTTAAAAACAATAGGTACTCTGAGGATATGGGAGAAATATGGTGGGGGGAGGCCAAGCTAAATGAGTGGTTCATTCCGGGTAGACCTGCTGGAAGAGATCTGTCTTGACGGCTTTTTAAAAGCCATCTAAGCTGGTTATCTGATGGATCGTTCCACTATCTTGGAGTCTTCTTTGCAGGCTTTAACTGCCTACTCGACTTAGATCAAATTGAGGAAACAGGTTCTATGGCATCCCATAAAATAATAATACTTCAAATAATATGAAAGTTGGAACTGAAGAGTGATTGAAAATTATTATTATTATTATTATTATTACTAATATCTCATCTCTCTGTAAAATACAGCTGAAGTGGCTTACATGATAAAATGAACAATCCCATCCCACAATAGCCCACCCCCCTAAAATATAATTAAACAATCAAATTTTAAAAACATACTTAAAGATAACAACTACAAAAACATTACAATAAAT